GAGGAGGGTTAAGAACAAGAAGACATGACCGCGTCAAGTAAACGGTTAGGTAAGCGGTAAATATGCTTTGCGTGGGCATCCCTACAGAAGCCGAACAAGGAACGGCATTCCGACGCCAACCAAGCAGATAAAGGGTCCGGTGTCGATCCGCGGGGATCGACACCCGTTCGGCCCCCGGCCCAAGTGGCTGTTTTACAGTAATTCTGTTTTCTTTGACTGCCAGAACGCCTACTGAACGGTTATATCAAAAAGACGTGACCCAAGAGGTTTACTAATATGGGCTTCCATCGATCAGTCTCTGAGGTAGGAGAATTTCCAAGACTGGAGAAAGGGCGAAGAACACGAAGGACGTTCCCACAAAATGACATATGGACACAAATTCAGAAAATTATTCTGGCGAACATATTGTTCAAACTATTAATTTGAATTAACTCTTCAAACCCCATCAATCTTTTAGCGAGATGGACTTCAAAACGGCAAATGAATTAAAGGGAAAGGAGAAACGGGAGAAGCAAAAGGTGGAGAGGGATAGGAGGATGAGTTAAAGGACGAAGAGGAAAAAATATGATTATGAACAAAAGTAAGAATATGAAGCAAAAGCGAGAGAAGTTGCTCACTGGCGGCGTAGTCGACAAATTGTCTTAGACTGACAGCGTTGGGGTTCAGCTTGATTGACGGATCCCCGTCTGGCTTCAGTTCCGCGGGTCCCACCTTGTCTTCCATGACGTCGGCAGCGACTGCCTGTGACATGGCAGCAGATAACTAGAAACTGCCAATGAATACTGAGAGCTGTCGGCGCTCCTGACGCCAGAGGTGGAGCTGTTTGTTCCAACCACCTGATTAATGATCGACCTCACTGTATGGTAGTTCGCAGTGATTGCCACCGTATTGAGGTAACCGGTGTAAGGTATGACGCCGGCTTTGAAGATAATATATAAAAACCAGATAAAGGGGCAATCGCTACCGCCAGCTGACGACGGCCAATAAAGGCAGAAAAAGTTATCCTAGCATGCCTTTCTTTGTCGGTAATGCCTATAAAAGAGGCAATCGTTCAGAGGCCTAGCTTACTTAATTCCCATGTAAGTATGAGGCTGACGATTGTCAGAAGGGTGGCGCGTGCATCCCCAAATATGGATAAGGTAAGAGTAATGAGGGTGGGCATGGAATTCTGAGTAACGGAAAGCTTTCTTGTCTTCATTAAGTACTTCAAAAAGAATTAAATTCAACAAGATACGAAAGCTACACAGCGTCTTATTTTCTCACAGTGGCAGTGGCAATCAGGTGGGCTTCGTAAGTTGCCGTCGCAGTCTTCACTGCTCCTCTCCAGGCCGGTCAATCTTGGACGAGATCCTTCCAAGTATGCAGGCTGACTTGAAGGTTATTAAGGGAAACTTAATATCCTTATAAAGTCCTTTCCGTCTTTCATGCTTACCAGCACCGATTGTGATGTCACCGTACAATAGTGTGCGACGCAGCCACTTGTTCGATCAAGAGTCCCCGCCGGAGTCCAAACTGTTTATAACTGGAAGACGAGGAAAAGCCGAAAGCCCGACCGTCTTGAGCCAAAGGTCCACGTGGGTGAGTTGGGTGCCTGGCCGGGAACTGCAGACGAAAAGAGGCTGAGTCATGCGTAGAGACGCCACAATCGGGGCAGCTGTCAGCTGTGGACGCGTCTAGCCGGTGTTGTTACTGGAGAAGGACCATTGTACTTGTACTTGTTACGGCTGTGATCATACCTGATCTAGCCGGCCTCAATGA